AAAACTTGCATAAGGCCCGTCATGACTTACACGAGTGTGGTATTCGCTCACGCGGCCCGCACACACATAGACGGGTGTCTATGTGTGTCAAATCCCTACAATCCCGAAGTCGTCGTGGCCTAAGCGATAAGACGTCCGGTGCATTCGTGTTGAGCGATGCACCGGTGTTAGAATCTCAGGCGGGTACCAATTTTTTAATGAGTCCGCGCGTCCGTGAGTCCGCCCGGATAGGTACCACCACCCTGCCTATTTCTGCCGTGAAGCAGTGATGCGTTTCGGTTTGAAGGGTGGGGCAGCCGTTGTAACTATACTGAGACCCTTAGAACTTATATCTCAAGGTGGGTGGCGCATTTACGTTGTAGATGTCTATGGGCTCCAGTAACCACTTAACACCAGGTGGGCTGTTAGCTCGTCCAACCAATTAAGCAATAAAAAAAAACCCGCTTTTGCAGGTTAGCCGTCGGAGCTCCATGGTAAAAAAAAAGTTATTAAACAAAACGCGCATGGAAGTTTGCTGCGTGGCCCTTTAGCCGAACCGAACGCCTTGATTTTCAAATCCAATAGAAAGTTATAGTATTTACCAAGATTTTCCAATATCTAGCCTTTTGATAAATATCTTAAAAAGTAGACGGTACAAGTCGCTAATTTTTATCTTTCGTGCAAATTATCGCATTTGATAAATTTCAAAATGAAAATCTCAAGTTGATAAAAATTACTGATTCCCTGATTTTTGCTTGGCCCGAAGATTATAATGCGCTAGGCCCACCGGTGAGCCGCATGATGTGATAATATCACTAATACATATTTTAGATAGAAATTTAAAAAATCACTAATAACAAAAGTAATAATTTGCCACATTTTAACAGCTCCAATTACAATTTTTCAGTCCAAGATCCGTCTTTCAGCGTTCAACGTGTTGTACTCGTCACGCAAATACGACCGGATTTGTCACTGTCGACCGTCGGGGATACAATGATTAGTCACGACGAGTCCTGGAAGGCGATATTCGACTTCTGCAAGTCCACCATCTCGCAGAAGGACGGAGCAGAATGAGAGAAGAACTGTTAAAATATGTTTATTTATTAATATCAAAATAATAAGTTTAATTTATACTAGCGGCATCTAGTGGTCACAATATGTACTAGTAGTGTACCATAGTCAATTACCAAGAAATAAAGTACTTCATTCTCAACCGTCATCTCATTCGTTTTAATAGGTTATGGGCCCAGTGCAAAAGTGTTTCAAATAATTTTTTTTTTTTTTTTTTTTTTTTTTTTTTTTTTTTTTTTTTTTTTTTTTTTTTTTTTTTTTTTTTTTTTTTTTTTTTTTTTTTTTTTCCTACCTAAGCTGATAGCCCTAGCGGCTATTTCAGCGTAACCTAACTTATCTTGGAAGGCATAGACATCGACGCCATTCCGGTTGATTTGAGTCATGCCGAAGACCGAAAAGCGAAAGCAAAACTCGTCATGACCATTGATCCCAAGCTATATGTGCACATCAAAAATGAAACCAAAGTCAAGGATTTGTGGCAGAAACTACAAAAGTTATTCGATGACAGCGGGTTCACAAGAAAAATCAGCCNAAACTTACTCACCAGTGCTTAGATACTCTACACTTAGACTTCTGTTTGCATTAAGTGTAAAATTTCATTTTGAAATCTTTCATCTTGATGTAGTTACAGCATTTTTAAATGGTTTTTTAACAGAAAATGTGTACATGTACGCACCTCCTAGCTTAAATTGTCCAAGTAATTGTGTTCTTAAACTTAAAAAAGCAGTTTATGGTTTGAAGATGATATGACACCGAATAAGATTTGAGGAAAATAATAAGTAACATAATCGTCTTTCTTGTTATTTTCACATGGTAACATAATTATCATTTCAAAAAATAATTACCAAAGATCGATATAACATAAAAACGAAATTAACTTTATCAATGAAATCTACAAGAGTTCTGATAAAAAATAGTATAGATATACGACAGAGCTCATAGAGCACCTGGTCAGGAATCACGAGTATTGTAATCATGATTGCCGATGTCACCTTATTTATTAAATAATAAAAGAAGTCCACGATCCCTCCAATCAGTCCGCAAACACATGATGACAGCGTCGGAACGATGCTTCGATAAGACTATGCGTCATAATAATCGCCTTATCGTTGCCGCCGCTGACCACTCCCTAATCCTGATCACGCAGGAGCCAGTCACCGCCATCCCTAGACACGTCCTTACGGATCCATCAGATCCAATAAGCTTTGCATTAGACGCCTTTAGCTTAGGAATCCCGGTAACCGTACTCGTCGAACTCGGCAAAGAGTTCGACGTGCAACCTAACCTAGATATCAGCCCGTTGTGTTTCGAATCGCCTCAGCGGGTCGTGATTCCAATCCGGTAGTAGATTCATTCGCAAAGCAGCAACTCTTGAGCTGTTAAGTCACCCCAGTCAGCTCGGGAAGCTGTTAGCAAATCCCACCCTTCTTCGCTGAACCCTTTCTCGCCCACCTCGTCTCTGAGCCACCAGTAATCTCTCAATCATAAAAAAAGAAATCCACAGCCTACCCAGAAGTCATAAGAAAGACGAAGGCCCTAAACGATAAATACGCATACTTATCAATGAATTTTGCCGGCTTGCTTTTTTACACGATGTTATTTCTGTAAGTATTTTATCGAATTGAAACAGGCGAGCTTACGGTCCACCTGCGAGTAGATGGTTACTGTTGCTCATCAGCAATACCAGAGACACAGACAATTTCGCTATCTACAATTCTTGGGCGATTCCTGTCCTCCGCGCAGTGGATAGCGACATTGATGCTGAAGTCCAAAGTTGTCTTAATCTGATCGGACCAGCGAATGGGACTACACCCTCTAAGCCTCTTTCCTTCCACTTTGTCGGTGATGAGTAGTCTTTCGAGATTGTCACCGTTTTTCCTCGCAACGTGACCGAAAAACTCGAAAATCCTACGTAGGTATGTGATGGAGAGTCTTGTGGAGACGCCTAGTTCTTCCAGGATTGATGCGTTTGTCCGATGTGCTGTCCAGGGAATCCGCAGCAATTTCCACCAGCACCACATCTCAAACGCGTCGACCCGACTTCTATCAGCCTTCTTTAGGCCCCATCAATTACGATATTATTACGATAATAATCTATATATAAATATAAATGAATTGCTGTTCGTTAGTCTCGCTACAACTCGAAAACGGCTGAACCGATTTGGCTAATTTTGGTCATGAATTATTTGTGGAAGTCCAGAGAAGGTTTAAAAAGGGGATAAATATAAAAATTTTCGGAATTAAATAAAAATAACAAATTTTGTTTTTCCTTTGATGTTGTCGGACGGATTCCTTTTGTTTGTTTTAAGTTTATTTTATACAAAAGTTTAGGTCTTTTATTTATCGATTGTGGCACTGAATAGTCTGCCGGGTCAGGTAGTAATTAATAAATTATTCTTTAAAATTAGTTCTCATCGCAATGCTGAAACAAACTGTTAAAAGGTGTTAAATCATTAATTATATAAAGAAGAAAAAATGTGGGGCAAATTTCTGGAGAAATTGTCGAGTTCATGTGAGTTTTTTTGTTTACGTTCATCTACCGACTTTTTCATAAAAATTATATCTACGTTACATCACTACATAGTATAAAACAAAGTCGCTTTCTCTGTCCCTATATCCTTATGTATGCTTAAATCTTTAAAACTACGCAACGGATTTTGATGCGGTATTTTTTAATAGATAGAGTGATTGAAGAGGAAAATTTATATGTATAATAACATCCATTAAAAAGTGGAGAAATCAATAATAAATTACGGTTTCCGAAGCGAAGCGAGGGGGGGTCGCTAGTAATTTTATATTTATTTATATTGTTACAGAGAAAAATAGTAATATTATGGGTACGACGATATCAAGACGAAGGATATTTGCTCCATCGTCAAAGATCAGATAGATTAAGACTCATACGAATACGAAGAAAATAGATTTAAACCGATTATCAGCTACACCAGATTATTCAACACAAGCATTGATGTCGTCCGTCGTGTTCTTCATGTGACAGTTCAACTTCAAGTAACTGTAATCTTATTATAACTGTCAATAACACATTACAATTGATCTACACCATCAATTATTGATAGTAACTTCCCGGGATACTCCAAAAAGTCCACTGAAAAAATCTTAGTAAGTGACCACCATTTTACTAAGATTATATTTCATCCCATATCATCTCAATTCATTTCATTTAATTTCAGCCCAGTTGATTAGTGTCTCAAATTAATCATCTTCATTTCATTTCACTCCATAATATCATTTTTCATAAAAATATGAATAATATAAATTAAAATAAGACATGACTTAAAGGTCTCGGTTACCAGGTCATAAAATCTCTTAAAAAAAAAAAGCAAAAATTCAAAACTGGAAAACTTTATTATTATAATGGGTAGGAGCTTTATGATAAATCGGTCATAGGTTATATAAACTGTAACTTTAATATACTTTCAAACACTTTTTTTTTATTGTGGTCCAGCTTCAGTCTTCTTTCCAAATACCGAAATGAATACTTTAAGCTAATACCTTAATAAAATGTTACAATACAACTTTTGGTCATTCCATATAATTATACAAAATACTAATTAAATTATTTAAAACCTCATAAGACACCCATAAAATATCATTTGGCGTATGTATTCGTAGCAGTTAGACTGGACACAACAAAAAGGATTTAAAAATTTAAACACAACCTGATTTGAAACATAGTGTAATTGATCCTACTCTAGCTTCTGTGAGTTAACTTTTACGCTATCGAGAACGTTAAAAAACTCGCATTAAACACGTGACACAGGTCATTCAATCCGATGTGTACGGCCTCCCATCACCAGGCGGGACGTGCTGTAACTACAGCAATAATGATCGGTTAGTACACCAAATATTATTTTATTTAATATACAATATTTGATTTATATGTTATTCTTTTGTATAAAATGTCGGCGGAGTCCAATAACATTAAATATTTAAACGAGAGAATCGATGAGAAAGATGATGGCTCGCTCAAAAAATTCGAAGATCTGGGTCTGAAAAAAAAGTGTCCAAAATAAAAATAAAAACTCATTCAGTGTTTTTAATATGTTTAAAGTCCTTTCCTGCTAGTGGTTAATTTGACTTCTGATTGCTTACATATTATTCAAACTCATTAAAAATACATTGCATGCAATCTAATTTTGGTACAAATTTTAACACAGTAATGTCAGATCAAGAACTGTATGGAATGCATTAATTTCATCAATGATATTATTCTAAAAATATGTCCGAAATACTTAGTATTTCAACATGTGTAATCCAAGGAGCATTCATATTTTTTTCTTATTACTTATATAATTTTGTGGTACTGGGTATGATATGTGACTTGTATGCTTTGAGTTGAGGACTGCTGGATGCAGATTAATATTTAAAAAAACAAACGTGTGACCCTCGGCCGCGGTAAAGCTATTGCACAGCATTTTTTATCAACTTATGCAATTATAATTAGACAATGATAATTTAATTTTAAAATAATAATAATACAAGACCACGCTATATTAAACATTAATAAAAGCAAAACCTTAACTGTGCCCTTCACACTCATAAGCTAGACCGCACGAGAGAGAGATGGGCAGACTTTTCATGATGCGCATGCAGTGTGACGTCACGCCACGCGCTTATTCACGAACACTACGCAAGCGCAACGTGTGAATGTGTTGAACGCGAGCTACATGGTAGGCGGAGTGAGGGGTGTTAGGTTTTTTTTTTCAAATTGCCTATATCTGCCGTGAAGCGTCATCCGTTCAGTGACAACTGTCTTACAATACTACAGGCCGAGGTTCCCATGCCTGCGGGGCGCGAATAATATATTAGAATCGTTGGCCAAAAATGCTAAAGGCCAGCCCAATAAGCAACTCTCATCGGCTGAGATAGAACCCGAGGTAAGGAGTTACCGCGATCAACACTACAACTAGACGTGCAATTTACCACTAGGATACCCAGTTGGCGGCTTCGTCGATGCGATAGTCGACGACCCTACGGCGTCCAACAAGGTACGGCAGCCCATCAGGCCGCACCAGACGATGCCGTTGGTGAAAGACAAAAATATCCTCCTTAGTTCTGGGAGGTTACTATTTTGTGATATCTAAAGACTAGATGGACCGACGACCTAGTAAAAAGCGCTGGGTCTCGTTGGATGCAGGTGGCAATGGACCGGTCGCACTGGAAATCTATTGGAGAGGCCTATGTCCAGCAGTGGACGGCGATAGGCTGAAATGATGATGATGATGAAAGACTCCGGTTACCACCTAACACCTGGTGAATTGCAAGCTCGCTCTTCCATTTTAAAACGTAACACAATTAAAGTGGTACCTATCTCAGACGTAAGCTAACGAATGATCGAATCATTCGATCACAGTACCAGTACCAGGCCATTGACGTTTCAATACTAGATTTACTTTTAGAAATCAAAACATAATACTAACGTTGTAAGTTTTAAGGGCTTCGGATAGCTTGTTGATCAAGAAATCATTGACCCTGTCGGAGACTTCCTCGCCGAAAAGAATGATGTTGAGGTCAGACTGAAACAATACGCAAACAAATAATAAATTAGTAATAGTGCATAACATAGTGTTCGAATTATAAGTAGAATTATAGGTTTATCAAGGAGAAGCAGCTAGCGGATTTTATATGAACTTTCCAGAAAGGGCGCAACTGCTAAAGCCCTAGGCCACTATAGATAAATAGTCTTGGTTTGTATCTTTTTATTGTAACCTAATAACTAACAATACATATTAATAGACAAAGATTAAATGATTTTATTAAATTAATTATCGAATGATAATTGTTAGCTTCTCTTACTTCTCTAGTTCCACTGCAGAATACTGTTTGTTGCATTACGGTCTGAATTAGAATTATTACTTCATTGTCCGATTGCTTGAAGCAGAGATGCGAATGTTGCGATGGATGTGTGGAGTAACGAGAATGGATAGAATACGGAATGAATATAATAAAGGAAGTCTGAAAGTGGCACCTGTGACATAGAAGCTGAGAAGTGCGCATTTGGGATGGTACGGACATGTGATGAGACGAAATGAAAATGAGGTTGGTAAGAGAGTGTTAACTATGAATGTGTAAGTATATAGAGGAAGAGGTAGACCTAAGAAGAAATAGATGGATTGCAAGAAAGACGATATGAGTAAGAAGGGAGTGAGCGAAGAAATGGTATATGATAGACGAGTATGGAAGGAGAAAACATGTTGCGCCGACCCCAGGTGACTGGGAGAAGGGCAGGATAATGATGATGATGTCCATTATACTTCGATATCATGTATTAATGCGAGTGACGGAATTCACAATAACTACTCAATTAATTTGATTCATAATTTACAACCACATCAATATCGAAAATAGATAAATTTCAATTTTAAACATTCACCTCGACGTCACCAACGGTGATAGTGCCGGTTACATCTCGAATGTTGATGTTGGGCAGGAGTCCCACTCTCAAACGAGCTACCACATTCACGTTTTCGATGACAACTCTGTAAAAGGTATAAAGAAACAAATTTTATTTTCAAAACCTTGGTTATAACAAGTCTAGTCTATTTTATATATATTTTTTGCTCGATGGGCGGAACAAGCTCACAGGCCAACTGGTGTTAAGTGGTTACAGGAGCCCATAGACATATACAACGTAAATGCGCCACCCATCTTGAGATATAAGATCTAAGGTCTCAAGTATAGTTACAACGGCTGCCCCACCCTTCAAACCGAAACGCATTACTGCTTCACGGCAGAAATAGGCAGGGTGGTGGTACCTACCCGCGCGGATTCACACAAGGTCCTACCACCAGTAATTACGCAAATTTTATAATAATTTTGCGGGTTTCATTTTTATTACACGATGTTATTCCTTCAGCGTGGAAGTCAATCGTGACAATTGTTGAGTACGTATTTCATTAGAAAAAATTGTATCCGCCTGGGATTCGAACACCAGTGCATCGCATAGATTATACACTTAATATATTTGTGCATCGCGCAACACGAATGCACCGGATGTCTTATCCTTTAGGCCACGACCACTTCAAAAGTAATTGTCTTTCTATTTTTATAACTTTTCATCACTCGTAGTGAGTAGCCATTTGTTAATTTTTCATTTAGTTCTCTAATAATCTGCGTCTCTTGCGGCTTAGTGGGAAAATGTAGCTCCAACGCGCGTATTAATAGGAGCAGACATAAGATCATATGGGACAAATACAGTTTCATGATAAACACACACCTTCCAGAACCATCGACTTCAAGTTCGTCCCTGCCGAAAACGCTAATTGTACCGACGAAGGACCCTTAGAAGAAGAGAAAGAGATTACACATTATTAGTCATAGATATTTTCTGAGCTTCATCAAGGTAAAAAAATGGTAAATAGCTTACATAATATAAATTAGTCACGATTCCGTCCACCATAATTATCAAAAGAAAACATGTTTTGTGTTAAATTAGTTTATCTTTTTGGTCGGACTATAATATTTAAGTAAGAAAACTATAGGTATTATTTAGGTAATTTTATTTTTAGAAAGAGAGAGGTCTCCCTCTCTCTCTAGAAGTATTCTTTATTGTACAAAAAAAAAAAACAATGCGAAACACTAAGTACAAAAAAGTACAATTGGCGGTCATATCGCTAAGATCGCAAATTGGCGGTCTTATCGCGATCTCCTCCAGATAATCATCAGGTGGACAAGAATAATTTGGAAACGAATTACACGCGGTGTACCAATCAATTTATCGATTATATATTAGATATCCATATTTATATTATCAATTTTAGTTTAAATAAAGAAATTTATTATTGAGACTATTTACAATTTAGGGAGGATTTGTGAACGATTTAACATACCAAGGCATTTCGTATTTGATTTTAAAACTGACCAATTAGTTAAGATAATTTTCTAAGTAGTGAAAATTATTAGTTTGGACCAGTTAGTTAATATATCTCTCAAACGGCTAGTAACAAACAACTTAAAAATTGCAATTGTCGAAAATTTATCAATTTACTTCCACGTTGACTGATATTAACCTTGAAATACATAAAATGTTCTATAATTAAACGCCCAAAGAACAATCTGAATCTACTTTGATGCAATTTGTTAAGAATTCTGAATTGAAAATAAATACTTATCATTAACGTGTATTCTATCAGCCCACAGACGTCCACTGCTGGACATAGGTCTCCCCCAAGCCTCGCCACAATGATCGGTCCTGCGCTGCTTGTATCCTGCGGATTCCTTCGAACCTCAATAGTTCGTCGGTACACCTTGAGAAATGCCTACCCACACTATATTATCATTAACGTACCAACAGATAATTGGAGCTTGGGTACGGATAAGTTGATGCTGATGGCACGGCTCAAGAGGTGGAAATTAACGTCGTTGACGATAATGTTGCTACCGCCTTCGAAGTTGAACTCAGATAAAGAGCCAGTAGCAGTGAAGACGTCCCTGAAATTTACAACAAAAAATGAACATTAAGCACTTCACTAGTTTAAAGCTGATTTCACCATAGGCAATTTAACACATTACGAAATTTTTAACAAAATTATCCACTTTAATGGACAGAGAACCAAAGTATGGATGCAAGTTCCCATTATTTATAATTTTTTTTGGATTTCCTCGTTTTGGCGCTTTGAGTTTGCTTGTAGTGCTGAACGTGGAAACCCCCACTCTGACTGGGTTTTAACCCCGGGTGGAGATGAAACATCGCGTGAGACAGTGCAAGGAGGAATCGTTTGGTGTAGTAGATTGGTCCCTTGGTCCCGCGGTCTCCTCCCAACATTTGCTGACCGTTAAGTCGCACATACTCCACATGCCCCCTGGGCGCGAATATCTCGTAGGAGGTTCGGTTTCCTACCCAAAAAAAAAGTTCCTGTCGCTTTAACAGATACAACTTACTCTAAATCGAAAAAGGAGTATGTGCCCTCAGCGCTCTCGACGTACAAAGGATCTAGACCACTAGCTTGAACACTTTCTATGATCAGTTGTATAAAACCCTTGACCAAGTCTTCAAGCAAATTTCTTTGTTGCAGTGCAAGCTCTGAAAACAAATTTTAAATTAAAATCCAAATGTATATTGTGATTATGTCCTCACCATTTTCATCGTCAGTTCAGATTCTTGATAATCTAGTTTGTGATTTTGATAACTATTAGAAATGATCAACATAATACTCGTAAGAGGCAACCTAAAATATCTTCTGTGATTGGGTCGATGGCGCTTCAACGTGGCGCTCAGTAAAGACTAGGTGATGTACCACCTTGATGCGTTAAAGTTAATACAAGTTCGACAAACAACAACACACGGATCATCAGTCCGATCGTTCCATTATGGTTAGCCCCATGACTTCATCGGATTAGGGCTGAGATGACGGCGGAGAGCTGTCACTGTAAATTCAACCTAGATAAGATGGAGAACGCGCTTGAAGCCTGCGTTGATGGGACGGCATTATATCCTAGTCGCACAAATGTATACCGACTAAGTAGCGACTATGGATGGTGGACCATATTCGATTTCAATAAGTGGATCTTGGAGATGGTGGAATTTGGATAGAGCGATGTTCTATATCTACACCAGCTCGTGGCCATCAAGGAGGGGAGTTTGTTAGGGATCTCGATAGTACACGCGGGTTACAAAACAATCTTTTTTTTTTAATTTTTATTGCTTAGATGGGTGAACGAGCTCACAGCCCACCTGGTGTTAAGTGGTTACTGGAGCCCATAGACATCTACGACGTAAATGTGCCACTCACCTTGAGACATAAGTTCTAAAGTCTCAAGTATAGTTACAACGGCTGCCCTACCCTTCAAACCGAAACGCATTACTGCTTCACGGCAGAAATAGGCAGGGTGTTGGTGCCTACCCGTGCGGACTCAATCTCCGGTGAATCCCTTGTGAAATGATACTACTGTAGGCCTATTTTTTTTTTTTTTTTTTTTTTTATTGCCCTTGTAAGCAGACGAGCATACGGCCCACCTGATGGTGAGTGGTTACCGTCGCCCATGGACTTCAGCAATGCCAGGGGCAGAGCCAAGCCGCTGCCTACCGCTTAATACTCTCCACAAGCCTCGTTTGAAGAAGGACATGTCATAGCGCTCGGGAAACACCGTGGAGGGGAGCTCATTCCATAGCCGGATGGTACGTGGCAAAAAAGNAAAGGGAAGGAATAGAACTGGCTCTCCAACCCACACGCCGGAACACAGCTAGGCTATTTGGCGGCGGACTCTAGTTGGAGGGTGGTCGCCAGCCAGTCGGACAAGTCCTACCACCGATTATGTATTCGGCTCCCGTTTTGCACCACCCAGGGGTCACTTGTAGGGAATCGCGGGTTAAACCTACGGAAGCGGGAAGCACCAACCCCCCTAATACTCAACAGTCTCATCTAAGGCCCGAACGCAGGTGATGTAGAGACAGGGGATTTCAGTCTATTGAACCCTAAAATGCCTCGTCTAATGCCTAGGTGGACGTACATCGATTTCGTCTTAGCAAAAGTTTTGTTTTTGTATAAAAGAAACTTTTTTTTTACTTACCGGAACTCCTTTGGGGCCCGGCAGACGCGCTGGCAATAATCGCAAGAGCAAAAACAAAGGTCGCCTTCATGATGTGTTCAATTTATCTTCGCTAAAAGAAATACATAACATAGCATAACAATTCATTAGAAGTTTGATAGTAATTTCTAGGAAATATATAATAAACGATATTCCAAATATAAATTTAGTTACTGATTCTCAGAAAACAATAAAAAAACAGTCTAACACAAATATGTTGAATCGAATATCTGAAGATAAAAAAAACTTATGAAACAATATGTACTCCAAAATTAATTTAATTTATATCAGGACAATCAATATTTTAAATTTAAAATCTTCAATAATATTTCAAGAAATACATCCAGATTTATATTGTTTTTTATTATAAAAATAAATGTATAATTTTATTGAGTATTAAAAAGCTCATGTACCAAGTTTATTAGTATATTATCTCGGCAAATGACTAGGGTTCTTCTACGGAAACAGCCTTTTATACCAATTAATTGTTAACTGATGAAGATAATAAATAACAATCTAGCTGATACAATCTGATTAAGAATTTGCAAACATTCCAATTCCGGGATCAAAATAAAAAATGTAACGAAATTGTATCCATGCTATAGCGCATGGTGTAATTTCATTACATTTTTGAACGAAGTTCCTTACGGCAGGCTTGGAGGGGATAGGGATTTTGCTGCGCGACCGAACTGAAAAAAATGTGATAGTAAAACCGTAAGAAAAAATCCGTCGAAAAAAGTGCGTGGAATAAAACCGTTAAATGAGACGTGCGCAGGCGCGACAGTCGCATACACAAGCGAGTAGTGTATAATACCTTTCTCTTTCTCCTTCTTTCTTTTCGTTCTCTAATCCCTTCTCTCTCTATTTAGTAATTATGTCTATTTCTATGTAATTTTATGTTGTCAACCAAAAATAAAGAGATATATTTTGTTATTTTAATTGATAATTTGAATTACGATTTTATTTTTATTTTACGTAATTTATTATTTCCTAAAATACTGAATTTCCTAAATACTTTCCTGTAATTTTAGAGAAAAATCAAGAAAACTTATATAAAATTGATCACGATTTTTTTTTTTGCAAATTATGTCGATTCTACATTAGCCGAAGGAACTTCGTTCCTACCTGGTGTCCCATGACACCACATTTGGAGTTTTTTTTTATAGTTTATCCCTCTTGCGATAAGATTTGATTGGCATGCTAATGTATATGTGATCTCGGAACCTAGAAATGGTAATTAACTACCCACACCCCAGTAATAAGATCTAAAATACAGTGGGATTGCTAATATTTATAATACTAGATGATGATAGAGCTTTGCTCGGCTTTTTTTTTATAACGCCCTCTTGTTGTGTACCTAAAGCAGTAAAAATAGTATTATTATTCGCCAATAGATGTCGGGAAGAGTCATAAAGTTGATTATCAATAAAGTTGAAAACACGAATAAAACAACATTTTCTGAAAATAAATCGTAGCTAGATCGATTTATCGCCCCCGAAATCCCCTGTATACTACATTTTATGAAAATCGTTGGAGCCGTTTCCGAGATTCAGATTATATTATGCAGATAAGAATTTTCTTATTATATTCTGAATATTCTTATTCAGATAAGAATTGCTCGTTTAAAGGTATAAGATTTTACATTATTAAAGTTAATTTTACAGACAAGCTCTAACACTAAAACTGTAAAGTCTACGAAACGTCAGAAATGATCCAATGACACAAAAAAACGCGAGATTAAATCGTAAAACTAGTCTTAATTACGCCTACGAACAGCGAAAGCCGAAGAAAAAACTAATTAATTTCTAATTGCGAATGAGAGGTATAAATTTACAATAAAAGTTGGTAAGATATTGAAAGGGTTTTATAAATAAAATAAAAGAAAATATTGAAAAAATAAGTAAAAATTAAAAAATTCAAATTATTATTTCTTAACGAAACTAAAAAATGTTATATTATATGTTGGTGACTGGCAATAACTGGAAAATGTACTAAAAAAATAAATAAAATTTCTATTTTTCTTGCATCATTAGAAATCTTATCATCATTATTGTAGATTATTGTGAAACAATATATATTTTTTTACCAAATTCCTCATATGTTATCACTAATGGAAACATCTAAAACCCGATAATCGACGAAGACTTGCATTAAATTTTATTGAGCGTCCAGAAAGGTCTATTATAATTAATATGTACATATTATGTATATGTATTTAAATAAGCACATAAAAAAAATCAGCTAGCATAATGATGTAACATAGCATAATGATGTAAAAAAAAGACAATTGTTTTTTTTGTTATTGCTTAGATGGTTGGACGAGCTCACAGCCCACCTTGTGTTAAGCGGCTACCCAAGCCCATAGACATCTATTACGTAAACGTATCTCAGTACAGTTACAACGGCAGCCTCACCCTTCAAACCGAAACGCATGACTGTTATTTATTCATCTCATTTATTGTTTGGAAGATACAAATTATTTCCAAAACGGTATTTTTAGGAGACTGATTAGGTCTCAAACGCACCAAAGGCTAGGTTAGTTACGAGATCTTTTAGGTCTCCAAAGCACCAGCTGAAAGTTCTTTAAAAATGATAATACACGATGACATTAATGGCATTCGTGGACACTTTTCAGTGCGTTTATTTTGAGAACGGCCCTTGTTTTTTAAAATTAAAAACCGAAACAATCTCCCATAAGTTTACAGGCATTTCAAACATTTTTCAAACAAAAAAAATCTTATTGTTTTAAAACTGAGCCTTTCCGGTGCATATTAACAATTTATATTGAACTAGATGATGACTGAGCTTTGCTTGGTTTTTTTTTTGATAACGCCATCTTCTTGTGTCTTTAAAGTGGTTAGTTGCCCTCAATTAAGAGAAATAGTATTATTATTCGCCAACAGATGTCGGGAAGAGTTCATTATTGAAAACACGAATAAAACAACATTTTCTGAAAATAAATCGTAGCTAGATTTATCGCCCCTGAAATCCCCTGTATACTAAATTTTATGAGAATCATTGGAGTCGTTTCCGAGATTCAGATTATATATATTAATATACAAGATTTGCTCGTTTAAAGGTTAAAGGTATAAGATTTGACAAAATAACGAAAACAGTGCGCAAACTTTCAAAACTTAAAGCGAAGTGTGTAAATATTATTAGCGGTATTATTAAAAAAAATACAATTAGGCGAAAATAGATTATAGATGATATTTAGTATCTAGAAACAATCTTGCCGGTATTTGTCTGATCATAATCGTGTTGATTATAACGATTATATTATAGAGAAAATATTAATAAAAATAACATAGGCGATTATCGAAAGGATATTCTTACTGTGCTGCAAAATATATTTTTTATATTGCTTAAATGGGTGGACGAGCTCACAGACCGCCTAGTGTTAAGTGCTTACTAGAGCCTATAGAGATCTACAACGTAAATGCGCCACTCACCTTGAGATATAAGTTCTAAGGTCTCAGTATAGTTACAACGGCTGCCCTACCCTTCAAACCGAAGCGCATTACTGCTTCACGGCAGAAATAGGCAGGGCGGTGGTACCTACCCGCACGGATACACAAGAGGTCCTACCACTAGTTGATAAAGATAATTGATAATTGAAAAAAATATAGATTAAGATAATCATTTTGAGATTATGAAAAAAAAAACACGTTAGATTGTCACTGTAAGAGGATCCTACATGATAAGGATGTAACTCAAAAGACTCTCAAAAGATAGTTAGTCTACTCCCACCCCCTTCGACTATGTGACCGAAAATTACCACTTCATCTTTACCCGTCTCATTGAACAGTAACTTTCTCTGAGTATTATACCAGCGCATTGCGATCGTTAACTGATTACCACTGTTATTGGCAGGGTGGTCTTTAGACTTAGGGATGCGCTTTTTTTTTAGCTCACGGATGTTTACTGCTGGATATACGCCTCCTCCTGGGTTCGCCGTAATATACCTAGTCAGGTCATAAATTCTGTCACATGTTTAATGTAAAATAATTGAAACAAGTTTATTCATTATGTAACCATTCATATACCAAAATGAACTTAACAAAACATAGATTCTTATGACACTAAAGTTTATTCAAAATGACCTCCGTGATTTTGAATACAGGCCTTCAATCTGCGCGGCCAGTCGTCTATCGCAGCACGAACGAGGTCCATGTCAATATCGGCGGCTGCCTTAATCAAGGATGTCTTGAGTGACTCCAAATTGGGATGAGGCTTTGAGCACGCCTTTTCCTCCAAGTGTTGCCATATCTTGTAATCTAACGGATTCAAATCTGGACTGGAGGAGGGCCAGTCTTCGTGCCGGATGAAGTCGATTTCACGCGCCGCCAGCCAGTCTTGTGTGCTCTTCGCTCTATGAGCTGGCGCCGAATCTTGTTGGAATACCCAGTGCCTGTTATTGAACATGGTATGAGAAACAGGTTCCACAAGGTTCGTCAGGACTGTATTTTGATACACAACTGCATTCGTTTTTACACCTTTCTCACAAAAATGTACCTCTGTTAAGCCCCAATAAGAAACTCCCAACCATACCATGAGCGAGGATGGAAAATGACCTCGTTGGACACGCGGAATACGGTTGCTCGCTTCTTCACTACTGTGTGCGTACACCTTATCATTTTGTTTGTTGTAGCTCTCTTCTACGGTAAAAATTTTTTCATCCGAAAAAAGAATTTCCCGATATTTTTTTCCCGCGTACCGCTTCAACAAAGCGCGGCATCTCTTCAGTCTCAGGTCCATTAGACGAGCATTCAAACGATGTCCTGTTTTTCTTCGATATGCCCGAAGCCCTAAGTCTTCATTTAACACCCTTTTCACCGTGGTTCTGCTTAACCCCATCTGAAGGGCCAACAGTTTCTGCTTACGTTTGGGATTTCTTTGAATTCGCGCCTTCACAGCTTTTATCACTGCTGGAGTCCTAACAGACCGAGGGCGACCACTTCTTGACCTGTCATCTACACTAGAGTCTTCATTGTATCGTTTGATGGTACGATAAACGAATCTTTTGGTTATATTCAAATTTTTCAGTATGTT